GATCCTGACAGACACACACAGACACAGTTCCTTCCTAACAAACAAACACAGACAACAAACACACAGACACAGATCCTGACAGACGCACACAGACACAGATCCTGACAGACACAGATACTAACAGACACAGACAAGACAGACACACACACACACTCACACACAGACCCACACAGACACATATGCAGATACACATACAGATCCTCAGACAGACATAGACACACATACAGACACACAAATACTCAGACCCAGAGAGATACACGGACGCACCCAGAGCCCCCCTCAATACCATTCCTCTTGTAGGGACAGGATTTATAGTAAATGAATCCTGGGGTGGATGTTGGACTGCATCAGGCTGTGCTCAGAGCTTACTCCTGATGTTGGGGCTCAGGGCAGTGCTAACGGCAAGGCGAGTGCCTTAACCCCTTAATTATCTATCTCCGGGCTTTGGAGCCTCACCCAGTGGTGCTGAAGGGGTGGCCCCTCCCAGTTCAGTGCTTGGGAGGCTGGGAGCTGGGAATGAGACCCAGGGTCCAGCGTGCCCTGTGCTCTCTCTTCTGTCCCTACAGAATTCAAAACCTGTCTGGGTGATTACAGCTCTTCTCCTCTTCCTTTTCCTGGGGGAGGGGGCACACCCGGCTCTACACTCAGGGATCTCTCCTGGCGGTGCTCAGGAGGCCATATGGAGGCCATATGGGGTGCCGGGGATCGAGCCCGGGTCAGCCACGCGCAGAGCAAGCGCCCTCCGTGCTGGACCATCGCTCTGGCTGGAGCACTTTTGTCCTTAATGATGGGTCCCATTGCAACATCAGCTTGTCCCCGAAGGCAGGAGAGACTGATCCAGCCTGATAATGACTTGCTGCCCTAGATCAGAAATGACAGGCCGAGAGGCCGTGCAGGTACAGCCCAAGATGCTGATTCTGGAGCAGCAGAGAAGTAACGACTCATCATAATCAAATTCTGGAGACAGTTTCAGTCAACAGGAGAGGAACTTTATTTTACATGGAAAAGGGGGCTTGGGGGAGTGTAGGGGAGGGCTGTTCCCAGCATGAGCAGCTGATGGCACTGAGTGTTGGAAGTGGCTTGGGGCTCTCACTGGCTGAGGCCTGGGGTAGTCTTCCTCCTGCCCGTCAGTTTCACTTCCTGTTGGGGGTCAGTAATTGACCATGCTTCCTGTTGGTTTTTGCAGTGAACAGCCCTTCCTGTTGGGGGGGGCTTGTAACCACTGACCAGGCCTGGTACCTCTGAGAACTCCAATCCTGGCTTCCTCTGAAAGATTTTTCAGGGCCAGGAAGATAGCTCCACAGCTGGGTGGAGCCGGGATCCCCCCCACCCCCACACCTGCTGAATCACCCGCTAGGTTCAAAACAGAAATAGGGCCAGAGCCATAGCACAGGAGGAGGGCGTTTGCTGTGCACGAACCTGGGTTCGATCCCCAGCACCTCATATGGTCCCCTGAGAACCATCAGGAATAATTCCTGAGTGCAGAGCTAGGAGTAACCCCTGAGCATCGCTGGGTGTGACCCAAAAAGCCTAAATAAATAAGTGAGAGTTTTCCAGATTCCTGTTACTGCATGTTACGGACTTCGTTTCTCAGTGGTTCCGTGTTCTCATCATAAAAGTGGGCTAGTAGGGGCTGGAGTAGGGCGTTTGCCTTGCACGTGGCCAACGTGGGTTTGATTTGCAGCATCCCTTATGGTCCCCTGAGCACCGCCAGGAGTAATTCCTGAGTGCAGAGCCAGGAGGACCCCCTGCGCATCACCGGGTGTGACCCAAAAAGAAAAAAAAAGTGGGCTAATAACATTCGCGGTATAGCTGCCTTAGGGCTGGCAGGAGGACGTACGCGCTGCTGACCAGCCAAGCCAGGGAGCACGCCCAGCGCTCACCCCCCGAGAGTGGGTTAACCTTAGCCCTGTTTATATTTTAATTCAGGTCACAGCTAGGCTCGGTGAGACTAGCCGCATTTCAAGTGCTCAGGAGCCTGATGTGACTGGTGGGGCTGCCAGAGGGTGGCACACATTGCCAAGATCACAGAGCACTCCAGGAGGACTGGGGGAGCACTCAGTTACAAGGAGCCGGGCCCAGAGTGGCCCAGCAGACACAGGGAGGGGGGAGTCCTAGCCCAGCCTCAATCCCAGAGCACTGTGAGCGGCCCTTCACCTCTCTTTTCGAAGTGTGGCTTGAAAGCAAAAACAACCCCCCCAAAAACCAAAGAAACAACCACACCCAACCAAACAACCCTATTAATGACATTATTAGCCTTAGAGATATTAGTAATTATGCTACGATATCTCTTGCTGTTCCTCCTTTGCTTACTTGGTATTTTTTTATCTATTACCCTGTAACTTTGTTTGTATTTGGGCCACACCCAGTGATGTTCAGAGGTTACTCCTGGCTCTGTGCTCAGGAATCACTCCTAGCGGTGCTGGGGGACCCTATAGGATGCCGGGGATCAAACCCTGGTCGATCGCATGCGAGGCAAATGCCCTCCCCACGGTGCTATCACTCTGGCCCCATCAATCCTGTAACTTTCAAGTTCTATTATTTCGAGTCCTGGAACTGTTGACTCTGACTTTATTTAGAAGCGATCATCACAAGAACCTTCCAAACCTGTTAGTAATCCTGTAACCATGACCGTAATGTCCTATGCCCCCAGACCTGTCGGCATCACTACACTCTGTTCACCCGACCAGCTGACTGTAGAACTCTCCTGAACAAGACCTGCTGCCTCTGCCTCACGCACAGTTTCCCGTCCTTTCGCTCGTGGCCCTGAGCCGGCTTTGCAGTGACTCCCGGCTCACAGACGTGGCCGGCAGTGCCATTAGCAACGCTTCGTTTCTGTGCATCGCTGTTGGCTGTGCTCTGGCCGTTGGTATGGAGCTGAGGGTGGTGGGACCTGTCGCTGGTTTGGGGGTGTGTGTGTGTCTCTCTCTTTGGGCCCCAGGGCCCCTCGAGGTGGGAGGAGCCGGGGCTGGTGGCCCCAGAGAAGATGAAATCGCTACTGGTGAATCTAGGGCACGGGCATGGCTGGGCTGCTCTCGACCAGCCCTTTGCCTCTCTGAGGACGCAGACTTGAGCACAGCACGCGAGATGCCCTGTTAGCCCCGAAAGAAGAAACTGGACTCGCGGAGACGCTGGCGAGGAGAGATGAAGCGAGAAAGGAAACCGCTTTGGGCCTCCGAGAAATCTGGTACGAGAGAAGGTTTGAACTGTGATTAAAAAGGGGAAGAACCACAAGGCTCCATTTAAGTCAGCAGAATGCTGTCTGGGCAGCGAGAGGGAAAGTGCTTGTGGCTGGAAGACTCCGGCGACCGTCTGACAACTGCTGTGGACCTGGCTCTTCCGAGGCAGCCCCTGGCAGCTGTGTGACCGCAGGCAAGTAAACTGCCCTCTCTGGGCTCCATCTCTGAATGCAGCACAGAGTTAATTAGCGAGGGCCGATTGGTTGGGCTTCGCAGATACCTTCCCCCAGCCCACATCCTTTGATTCTGTGTGAACGAGACACAGCACTTCCTGATGGGTGGCCAGTTCCAAGCTGTGTGCTCAAACCTGAAGCCCCAGCCGGTCCATCTGTGCCAAACGTCCATGACTCCCCACCGCCTCCAGGAGGATTCCCCATCTTGCTGCGGTTAACTTTGAGACGCCATGGGATGGACCCACCTTTATACTTCTGCCCTTCCCATCTGTCAGTCTGGGTAGGCAGCACTGCCCTCACTTCCTCCAGCTTACGCAGGACCTTTGCACTTGCTGCTCTCCAAGGGCCCTACCCCGGGACCTTATCAGGCCTGGATGGTTCTTGTTCGGGAGGTGGGATAGGTGGTGGAAATGAGCCTCAGAGAGGGCCTGCCGAGCCTGTGGTTTGAGGCAGACGCTTCTCACGGGCCTACGGTGTCGTCTTTGTCATGCATCAACCTATTGATTTGCTCTAACGCTGAGTCCCTCCCCTCCCCCATCAGGCTTCCCAGGGACAGGGCTGTGCCGCTCCTCTTCACTCCTGCACCCCACTCCGGGGAGCAGTGCCTGTACTTAGTTATTGAATAGCCAGTGATTAGCACTCATTTGTGGGACACGTGCGTGGCCGGTTTCTCACGCATGTGGGATCCTCTGCCGCCGACCAACCCCGCGGTGCTCAGCTGGTGAGTCTGGAAACCCCCCCTCCTGGGGAACCCCTTCCTGCGGCTGCCGGGGTGGGGTTCACGCACACCCCAGCAGCAGCGCTTCCCTGAGCGAGGCCCCCACGGAAACTGCTTTATTGCAGGAGTAACTCGTGGAATCCTCCCACCCAGGGGCTCTTAGGATCTCCGGAAGTCAGTGAGGACGGCGGGGTCTGTGCAAGGCTACTAAGCGGGGCCGAGCTGCGCGGCCCCTTGGACGCTGTCTCCCGTCGGGGCAGGAGGAGAGTGGACACTGCTCGGCTCGCCGCGTCCGTGCACTGGCACCGGCAGGCAGGGCTGGGTCCACGCTCCCCACCTCGCGCGAGGACGGCAACCTCGAGGACGCCGCAGAAGGCAAATCAAAGTCGCGCAGCGCGGGAGAGCGCGAGCGCGAGGGCCCGACGGTGCGGGGTCGCGGCCCCCCGGGTGATGATGAAAGCAGCGGTCGCTGTTGCACCGCGCGCGGCCCGGCGAGCGCAGATAAGGCCCGGGAGGAGGGAGCCGGCGGGACGCGCCCCCGGCCCCGCCCCCGCCCGCGCAGGCCCCGCCCCCTCACGCGGAGCCCGGGCGGACGGCCCCGGGCGGGCGTGGCCAACGCGGCCCCGCCTCTCCGCCCGTTCATGCCCTTCTTTAGGCCGCGAGCGAGTGGGCGAGCTGTGGGCGTGGCCCGCGTCGGGGCTCCGCCTCCCTCCGGGCCCGCGTCGGCGGCCGGCTGCCGGGACGCGCTCGGGCGCGGAGCCGCCGGCCGGGTGGGCGGGGCGTCGGGGGCGGGGCCACGCCCGGCCAATCCGGCCCCGGGGCGGGGCTCCGCGGGCTCCGCCCCCGGGATGGCCCCGCCCCCGCCGGCCGCCCGCCCCCGCCGGGCTCGGCTCGCACCGCCGGTTCCGCTTTACATAACGGCGCGGGCCGGCATGGGCTCGGGGCCCCGCGTCCGCCCCGCCGGCCGCCCGCACTGTCGCGGCCCGCGGTGGCCAGGGCGGCGGCCCGGGGGCGCCTCGTCTCGCGACTGTCAAGCGCCGGCGGCGGAAATGAGGCGGCGCCGGCCCTTCGCGGAGCCCGGGCTTCCTGCCTGAGCCGCCGCCGCCGCCGCCGCGGGGCCCGGGCGCGGGGCCACCATGGGCCGGCCGGGCCCCGAGCGCCTCTCCCGCAGGTAAGCGCGGCCGCGCCCCGGCCGGGTCCACGCGCCGCGCCCGCCGGGGCCTCGAAAGTGAAAGTGGCCGGCGGGACGCGGCGCGCGTGGACGCGCCCAGCGCCGCGACGCCCCCGGCCCGCAGCTCCACGTGCGCGCGGCGGGCCGGGCCCCGGCCGGCTCCCGGGGTGCCCCTGGGCCCCGCCCGCGTCTCCCTGGGCAGGTCGCCGTCCCCCGCGGGGTGCTCCGGGGTGCCCCCGCCTCGGGGACGGGCCGCCGCGTCTCGGCCTGGCGGGGCCGGGGGGTCCGCTCGGGCGTCTGTGCCGAGCCCGAGTCCCCGCCCTCGCCCCGCGCCGGGCTTCGGGGTGACGCGGGCTGCATTTGAGGAACCGGGGGCGCCCTCCCCGCCCGCCCCTCTTCTCTCTCCTGGCGTTTCCTCATTCTCCTGTTTCTCTTCCCCATTCCCGGCCGGGATGATGATGTCGGTGCCGAGGTCACCGCCTGCATCTGGCCGCCCCGACCCCCGCCCCGCAGCGCCCGGCCGGTCGCGCAGGGTGGGAGGAAGTGAAATTGGGCTGCGGGAGGGGGCTTCGCCGCCCAGCGCCCGGCAAGGAAGCCCGCCCTGCTCCCGGGGCCTCGACCTGGCCGGCCCCCTGCCCCTCGGGACGGACCCCCCGGCTGCCAGGCTCCTCGGAGCGCCCGCCCCCCGTCCCCAGCTTACGTGCAGTGCCAGGCGCCCGTGGGGCATCGTGCCTGGGTCGCCCCGACCTGACTTCCAGGGCGGAAACAGCTGGAGGGGGTCCCAGCCCTCAGCCGGGAGAGGGGTCAGGGGCCGCGCGGGCCCGCCGGGGTCAGCGGGTGAGAGGCCAGGCCCATGGGGAAGTTGCAGAGTCTCGAAGACGCTTTTCCGAGCCTTTTCCCACAACCCCCTGCGGGAGGGGCCGAGGCCGAACATTCCTCGGACTCGCCGGGTCCGCGCAGGCCAGCGCCGCTGGACTCCGCCAGGGCTGGTGACCAGGAGGGCCGGGCCGCGCACTGCTCTGTGCAGCTCGGGACCGGGCAGGTAATGCCGTGAGCCTCAGTCTCCCCCCAGCTGGTACTCACGGGCTTTGCGGTGTCTGAACCACAGGTGCTGCTGGGGTGGGGGGAGGGGCGGCCCTTGGCATCAGTGGGGGCTGATCGGGACTTCCTGGGCCTTCGGCAGGAGCACGGGGTGGTGCTCCCTGGCCGTGGGGCCTGGCGTGACATAAGCCCCAGCCTCAGTTTCCCCGCTGGTGGGACGGGCCGACCTGCTGGGGGAGGCGGGGAGGCGTGTGAGCGGGTTTGTTGTGGCTGTTGGGCCTCTGGTGTCCCTCCCTGCTCCCCACCCCCCTCCCGGAGCCCCTGCTGGATCCTCTGATAAATGGAACTCCCCAGTCAGATCAGACCCGCAGAGCCACCGGATGGGCTGGCGCTGGGGACCCCGGGGCCCCCGGCTGCGTGTCCCACGCCTCGCCCACATTTGTTCATTCATGCTTTCGCTACTGTTGCCGTGAGAAACGTGGGGTTCTGTCCGTGCTCGAGTTCCCGGTGGCTGCTTGGGCTCTGGTACAATGTCTAGGCTCTGCTGGCCGCTGGCTGTGAGACGGGGGCACAGAACCTCCCCTGCCCGGTGGGTGAGAGGCCCGTGGCTTGGGGGCACGTGGGTAAGCGTGTGAGCTTGGGGGCCGAGTGGGGAGGCCTGGCGTGGGGCCGGGGCCGGAGCTGTGGGTGCTGGACCGGTGCTGGCCGCGTGACCGTGGGCATGTCCCCTCTCCTCTTTGACTTGGGTCATCTCGTCTCTGACCTGGGCACACAGGTGCCAGGGTGCCAGGCCTGCCTGCACTCATGTGCCTGGTGATGGGTGGCCGCCTTCAGTGCCCAGGAGGACATGGTACTTATTTGCCAGGTTTCCTGGGAAGAAAAAAAAATGGTCCCTGGGTTGGTGGGGGTGGGGGCTCAACACCCTTGTCCCTTGTCTGGCTCGAAGAGGAAGCGGCTCCCCTCTGGCCCCAGCGGGGGGCCCAGGCTACTTGTTCCCAGCTCCCCCCTCCCTGAGGAAACTGAGGCGGGCAGCCTGCCCAGGGGAAGTGACTCAGCCGGGGTCACTCGCTGAGTCAGGCCTAATTGGACCCAGGAGCCCTGCGCCCTAAGTCCCGCGCTTCCGGGGGCCTGATGCTCCCAGGGGACGGGCTGTCTGCGGCTGCAGCTGGACACACGCTCCCACGCGCCGGAACCTGGGGGACCCCAGCACCCCAGCAGGACCAGGGCCGTGTCCCCCGGAAAGCAGGTCCCTGTGGCGGCCGCCCCGCCTCCCCCCCGCCGGAAACGGCGAGCAGATGGCTGTAAGAACTTTCCTCCCACGCCACCCTGTCAGGGGTCGGCCAGTGGGGCCGCCTGCAGGCTTCCTCGGGAGCCCCTGGGGGCCGGCCCGGATGTGGGCCCCTCCCTGGCCGGCCAGAGCCTGCCCCTGCCCCCAAGTGCCCCTGCTCCCAGGGAACTGACTCAGGCGCTGATGGGGCCGTGGGGATGTGCGCAGGGGCAGAAGTGGGGGCTGTGGACCAGGGTCCGGCCTGGGCATCCCGCAGGAGGGGCCAGTTAGGGGAGGTGTGGGGGCGTGGGACTTGGGTGCAGCCCCCCCCCACCCCGCTCCCGCTCCCCGAAGCGGCATGGGCCGGGCCGGGTCGGGGTCCCGAGCTGTCCCCCCAGGGCCCTGAAGGAGGGAGTGAGTCGCGTGCTGGCCGGGGCCTTTCTGCCTCCAGAGCTGTGTGGGCGGGGGCAGCAGAGGCAGCTTCCTGTGCTGGTGGCTGATAGATGTCCCTGCGCTGCCCCCCCCTCCCGCAGGGCCACACTGGTCACTGACCCTGCCTGCTGGCCGCCCTCCCCCAGGGCTCATCCCACAGTGCCTCTGGGGCCCCCCACGCCGGGCCTTCCCAGTGTGTGAGGGCAGTGGGGGGTGTGCCTGAACCCCTCCCCCCCTTCCTTGAGTGGGGGGTGGTCAGCATTTCTGGAGTTGTCAGCCCTGCAGGTGGGAAAGACAAATTCTCCCAGTGGTCAGAGTAAGCCGGAGGCCACCCTGGTGGTGGAAACTTCCTGCCCAGGCAGCTGCTGGTGGGGGGGGGGGGGGCCCTGCACCTTCCCCCCACCTCCCTGTGTCTGGGCAGGTGGCAGCCCCGGACTGTTGCTCACCACTCTGCCCCCATCGTGGGGGTCTTGGGTAACAGGGTCCCAGGAAGGGGCTGCAGCCTCAAGTCACCCAGTGGGTCACCCTCCGAGGCCCCAGTGAGTTGGGGGACCCAGTAGGGACGTGAGCTGAAGCCACTTGGAGTAGGTGGGGTAAGCCCTGCTTTTCCAGAGTCCTGATGGGTTGGGGGCGCATTTACAGAGCCCTCGGCCTCCCCTGCCAGGCCCTGGCTCGGCTTGGGGGGCTCTTGGTCCTCACATGCTCCTGCAGGGAACAGATGTCCTCCACCCCCCCCCCCGCCAAGCCATCACCCCCCCCCCCCAGCATGGGTGTCTGGGCTGCCAGGTGGTGGTGACTGCCCTGAGCCCTGGCTGTGCTCCTGCTGGCCAGTCCAGGGGCCAGCGCCTGTGTGGCAGGAAGCATCCCGCACTGCCCCACTGCTGGATGCTGCGGGACGGGCCTGTGCTCAGAGTGGAGCCCCCTGTTCTGTGTCAAGACCGGGGTGGGAGCTGCTCCCCCGGGCTAGTCTAACGGTCATGGGGGTCTTGGACCCCACGGCCTTTCCTATGATCACATAATGGTCCCCCCAAACCCATTACTGCAGAGCCCACTCTTCCCCTCACTGGCTCTGTGGCCTCGGAAAGGCCGTGCCTCAGTGTTCCCATCTATACAGTGGGCTTGTCGCTGGCCCACCCTGCCCCCCTCTGGTGGTTGTCGCAGAGCAGGGGCCAGAGCGATACCGCTGGGGGGCGGGCGCTTGCTTGCACGTGCCTGAACAGTGCTCAGTGCCCAACCCCGCATAAGGTCCCCTGAGCACTGCCAGGTGTGCCCCCCCTTCCCCTTCCCAGAAGGCACAGAGTAGGACACTGAGGGCCGTGTGCAGCTGTCACTGACTCGCCTCTGTGTCACTGACTGTCGCTTTGTCTTCACCTCATGGCCGCTTCCCTGACAGCCTGCTGGGGGTGGGGTGCTGGGCGCCGTCAGCCCCTCCTGGACCCTTGGCTCTGCCTGGGCGGCCTCCTCGCGAGGCTCCAGGCAGTGGCCAGGCCTTTGGGGAGGGTTTCCTCTCAGCTCTGGGGTCTTTTTTTAATTTTTTTTTTTTTTTTGCTTTTTGGGTCACACCCGGTGATGCTCAGGGGTTCCTCCTGGCTCTGCACTCAGGAATCACTCCTGGGAATCGAACCCGGGTTGGCCACGTGCAAGGCAGACGCCCTCCCTGCTGTGCTATCACTCCAGCCTCTCAGCTGCTCCGGGGTCTTTCTCGGCTGGGGGAGCTAGTCTGGCAGGGCAGCCAGTTCTCTTGTTGGTGGCCTGGAGAAGGTACGAGGAGGGGGGCTCTCGGCCACTGCCTGGGAGTGATGGACATGGGGGAGGGGGGAGGCACAGTTCAAGGAGGCCCCTGCCAAGATTGGTCTTAACCACCGAGTGGCTGCGAGGGGAGGTGGGCCGAGGGTTTCATGCCCCGACAGGCACATCCAGGAGGTGTGGGGACCCAGCCGGAGGGGACAAGGAGGGTGCTGGCTCCCGCACATCTGTCAGAGCTGTCGGTCCGGTGGGTCCTGGTGTGCTTGTGTTTGGCGTTTGTCGAGCACCTGCTGCATGCATTTGTGGGCAGGGGGTGCAGGGCAGAGCGGGGAGTGGCTCCCGGCGTCCTGGGGACAATTGCTGGCTCTCGAGTGACAGCGGGCGACCGGTGTGGGGTTGGCTCCCGGAGGGTGCCTCTGCAGGGCGGGAGGGGACAGTGAGGGGACAGGACCTGGGTAAGGACAGCGCCAGCCTCAGTGTGGCTGTGGTGTGGACCCGATAGGCTACCCACGGGTGTGGGTTGGACCCTCCCTCCTGCCTGCAGCCGTGTGGAGCCTCGTGGTCGGGGAGGGGTGTCCTGGCCCAGGGGCCTCTTCTCTGCCCCTGGGGTCTCTGCTGTGGTCGCCCCCTGGGTCTGGGGCTGGTCCTGCAGGGCTGCCTGCAGTGAGGCGGTCGTGGAGAAGGGGACTGGGGTGGTGGCAGGGAGACCCCAAGTCAGTTTCCTGGGTCACCTTTCCTGCACCCCTGCAGTCTTCCTCTGAGGGGGACCCTAGGGGGATGCTAGGGGGGGACACTGCCCTGTGTCCTGTGCAAGAGGCCTGAGGGCAGGGAGCCCACTCAGCTGGTAGCTGGCAGGGGCAGCTGGGAGGGGAGTGCGCTGGGCCCGCGGTGCCCGGCACACAGAGGCCGTCTCGAGAGGGTGTTTTCAGCGCAGTGAGTGGGGGCTGGCGAGGAGGGCAGTTGGCCTCTCCCAGGAGAGACCCGGGGTTCAGCACCGTGGACAGCAGAGGTGGGGGGCGCGGCCCGTGCCTGGGCACCCTGTGTCCGGGCATCTATCCGAGTCATTGGTGGGTTTTTATTTGTGGTTCGGGGTGGTACCTAGTGGTGCCCAGGCGATTCCCAGCGCTGCCGTGAGGCTCGCTCCTGGCAGCGTGGGGGCATCTCTCTGGCCCGCGAGTGGCCCCGCGGCAGTTCTCGCATTCGGATGAGGTGGCCCTGTACGACCCCGGGTTAAGCGCGACGAAAGGAAGGCGGAGTGCTTCACCTGGGCACAGGGGACCCGGGCCCCAGATTCCCCTTGGCGGGAGCCTTCCCTCTTCTGGTTCCTCCCCGGTCTGGGTGGGCTGGCACCGCCCAGCCCGTTCCCCCGCCCGTGTCTGCACGTGGAGGTGGGTGCTGTGCCCCGGGGGTCCCCGGCGCGCCTCCGGGGGCCGTTCCTCGCGTCCGCCCGGCGCTCACGCGCGTCTCCCTTGTGTCTTGCAGCCCGGCCGCCCCAGCTCGGTCTCCGCCATGAACGGGCCCAGCCTGCAGCCCGCCTCGGCCTCGCCCGCGCCCGCGGCCCCGCCGGCGGCCCCGTGCCCGCGCGGCTGGAGCGACTTCTGCGAGCTGCACGCGGTGGCCACGGCGCGGGAGCTGGCGCGCCAGTACTGGGCGTTCGCGCGCGCGCACCCGCAGCAGGCGCCGCTGCGCGCCGAGCTGGTGTCGCTGCACTTCGCCGACCTGTTCCAGCGCTACTTCTGCCGCGAGGTGCGCGACGCGCGCCCGCCGCGGGCCCCCGCGCGCGACTACCGGGACACGGGCCGCGAGCCGGGCCCCGCGCGCGGCCTGCCCAAGGCGCGCAGCAGCGAGGAGCTGGCCCCGCCGCGGCCCGCGCCCTGCGCGCTGCAGCACCTGCGCCGCGGCCTGCGCCACCTGTTCCGCCGCCGCTCGGCCGGGGAGCTGCCGCCCGCGGGGGACGCGCCCGACGCCGCGCGGCCCGGCCCGGCGCGCAAGCTCCTGCCCTGGGGCCTGGCGCGGGAGCCGCCGGCCGAGGCGCTCAAGGAGGCGGCGCTGCGCTACAGCCTGGCCGACGAGGCGGCCATGGACAGCGGCGCGCGCTGGCAGCGGGGGCGCCTGGCCCTGCGGCGCGCGGGGGGCCCCGACGCCGCCGCCGCCGCCGAGCGCGTGCTGGAGCTCTTCGACCCGCCCAAGGTAAGCGCGCGGGCCGGGGCGCAGGGGAGCGTGGCGGCGGGGGCTGCGCCGGGAGCGCCGCGGTGGCGGGTTCCTGCGCCCGTGCTTGCTGGCGGGTGGGCTTGGAGGACCCTGTGCGCCGCAGGCCGTCGGGGGCTCGTGGCAGCTCGGCCTGACTGACGTCACTAAGGACCTCTCTCGAAGCCGGCCACGAGGAGTTGGTTTCCAGACCCTGCCGACGCCTGCTTGATGGGGACCCAGGCCGCGGGACTCCAGCCGTGGCTTCGGGTCCCAGCAGTGGTGACCCCGCGTGATGCCCCACCCTGCCCTGGGGGTTACTCTCCGCTGCGCGGAGTCTAGGCGCCCCTTGATGCTGTGTAGCTGGCGTCCAGGGCGCCCTGGAAAGAATGAACCAGTGAGTCGGTGGGAGAGGCAGTCGTGCCTCCTCGGGGCAAGCCCAGGGCCTGGTTTGGTGGTGCGGTTGGGGCTGGCAGAGTCAGGTCTGTGCGGGAACGCGCCCCAAGCCTGAGTGTCCCCCAGCCCCAGGGGCCTTCCTGCACCTCCGTGTCACCTGCCCCTACATGCACACACACACACACCCAGCTCTGGCTCCCTGGTCGCGCTTCCCGCAACTGAGTGATGAGGTGTGTGCCGGCGCATGGCAGTACCCGGTGTCCTGCTGTGTAGACAGCTGTTTCCCCAGGTCTCGGCTCGTGTGGCTCTGGGCTGGCGTTAGGCGATGTGCCAATGGGAGGGGGCTCCTGGCCCGAGGTGTGGCCCAGAGCGGTCGCGTGCGTGTGCCCCTGCTGCAGCCAGGGGTCTTGTGGATGGCCCTGTTGTGGGTGCGGCCCGCGCTCTCCCTGATGCCCGTGTGTTTCAGTCCCTGGCACTGTTTATTTGCCTTGGAAGTGACTATGGTGACGGGGCAGTTACTTTGGTTCCGTTGTCAGCCCTATTGATCTGTAAGAGACCTCGGGCGGCGGGCCACTCTGCACCTCTGCGTCAGAAATAATTGCTCTTGCTCTGGGTTTCCCTTTGTTTCACTCCGGGGAGTCTATTCCTTAACACAGGTGCTTTACTTAATTTCACTTCATTTATGACTCTTTTGGTTTGGGGCCAGATCTGGCTGTACTCAGGGCTTCCTCCTGGCTCTGCACTCGGGGATCACTCCTGGCGATGCAAGGCCAGCGCCTTACCGGCTGGACTGTCCCTTTGGCCTAGGTCCTTCGTTTTCCTGAAGCTGTTCCTTTCCCATGGGGTTAGTGTTTTGGAGGTCTGAATTGAAGAGACTTGCATCCGCCCAGGGTCCTGAGGCCTTTCCTGCTGGTTTTGCTGAGGTCAGCTGCCCTGTGGTGTGAGGCGGGTCACGGTCATGCTATGCCCGACGCCCCCCTCAGCCTGCAGCCCGCTGTTGCCTGAGCCCGGGTCCTGCCTCGGTGCGGCCCCAAGACAGTTCCCTGAGTGATTTGGGGGATGCACAGGCCTGTCCACAGAGCCCTGACCTCTGATCCTGCACTTCCAACTGAGGAGAGAGGGTAGGTCATTGCCCAAAGCTCAAAGAGGCTTGAGGGGTAGGGAGGGGGCAGGGCAGCTGGCCAGGACTCACAGGCCCCGGGGGGCGGGGGAGGTGGTCCCAGTGCTGCTGGGACCTGGCAGTGTGACCCCAGGCCAGCATTGCCCCCAGGAACTGCAGCCTGCTCACATCACCCGCCTCACACCACAGGGCAGCCTGTGAGGGGGCGTGTGGGGCCCAGAGAGAGAATACAGAGGGTCGGGCACTTACCTCATACGTATCTGACCGGGGTTTGATCCCTGGCACCCCTATGGTACCCTGAGCCTGCTGGGACTGATCCTTGAGTGCAGAGCCAGGAGTTACCCCTGAGCACCAGCAGGGGAGAGAGCAGGGCTAAGCCAAGAGTGGATACAGGGAGCTACTCAGTCCCGGGGTCAGCAGAGCCCGGGGCCAGCCGCTGGGGGACACACTGAGGATGGGAGACATCTGAGCCGGGCGTCTTGGGGCGCCGCTGGCTGTGCAAGGTCAGCTTCTGTTGGCCTTGGCGGGACGGTGGAGTTTGTGTGAGGAGGCCTGGCCCCAGCTGGGCTGCCTGGTCTGGCATGGGGCCGGGTGAGGGATTCTTCTAGAAGCCACAGGTCCGCCTGTGGCAGATCCCTTGCTGGCCTGGTGCCCGCGCGCTCCAGGCCTTCTGCACGCAGCGGGGGAGACTCCTGCAGGGCCGTGGGTCGCCAGTGTTTCTGCAGGGATCCAGGATCTGTCCAGAACTCTGGTTTGTCTGAGGCTGCTTGCTGAGATGGGGTCCAGGCACCCCGCAGAGGGGCTGTAGCAGTCATCAGGGTGTGCCCGCCCCCACTGCACAGACAGGAAAACTCTGGCTAGCGCTGCCACTGGCCAGGGCCAGGTGCGGGGGGGGGGCCTCCCCCAGACTGTGTGAGCCAGGGTGGACCCTCTCCCCATCCGCGTGGCATCTGCTCCCCAATGGGGTTCGCCTCAGCCCTAAGCCCCCCAGGAAAGGCCAGGCTGGGGACGCCCTGGAGGGCAGCGGGGTGCACTGCCCCCTCTGCGCCTTCTGAGCCTGACCCCCTGGACACAGTGTCATCTGTCAGTGGGGGTGAGGGAGGGTGGTCCCTCCCAGCAGCCAGGCCCCTGCTTGGGCCGCTCAGGGAATCCCAGTGAGGACCGTGACCGACCCCCGCTGGTACGGTGCCCACCTGCTCGCTGCAGCTCCCTGTTCACAGGCACCTGAGGGGGGCAGGGATGCGGGAGCCAGTGTGGGGAGAGGAAGCATATGGTGCGGACATTCCAGAGTGCCCTCTGCCTCAGTTTCCCCTTACGAGCCCAGCAGGATTTGGCACTCCCGTCCCGTGCAGAAGGACTTTGGCGCTTCCGCCTCAGCTCCTGGCCTCTGCAGTTTCCGGTCCCGTGGGAGGGCTTCCCAGTGCTCCCCTGCAGCCGGCCCCTGGGGCTTGGTGAGGCCTCCCAGGCAGGGCGCCACCTGCCCCACGGCGCCCTGCGGGTGACGTCAGGGTGTAGGGTCCGGGAGTGGAGGGGTCGTGTCTGCTGTTGGTGTGGGAGTGGGCCTGTGCTGGGCAGGGGCTGCGCCGGGGCAGGGGAGGCGGCACACGGCCAGTTAGGGGCACCCCCACCCCTGCCGCCGCGCCGCGAAGGGAAAAGGAAACCAGATGTTCAGGGCCAGGCCGCTGGGGCAGCTTCCTCCCAGGGCAGAGGGGCAGCTTGGCTTCCTCTGGGGGCCACACCCCGTCTCCTGCCTTCCCTCTGAGCTGGGGATGCAGTCCCTTCCTTGGGAGGCTGGTGCCGGGACCCCAATGCTCCCACGTGACAGTTGGCAGTATGTGGGGCCCAGTGGGCCCTGATCTGGAACCTTCTGGAACCAGGCTCCTTGTTCCCTGTGCTGGCCATGTCGCATGGTTCTGGTCTTTCAGTGAACAGCTTTGGGTGCAGCTTAGAGCAGGCTTGAGTCACTCCTGGCTGCTGGGGGGCCGTGTGGGGCCAGGATGGACCTGTGCCCTGGCTGCCTGCCCAGCCCTGTTTGGACCCTCTTGCCCCCTCAGCTGCCCCTCACAGCCCTCCTGGGACCCCTCCACGTGCCAGGTGCTGCCGTAGGTGCTGGACTCGCGGGGCATCTTTGGACGGAGCCCGGCCTTGCGGCTGCGGTGCCTGCAAATGTTCTGGGACGCTTGGCCCCTCAGCAGGCCCTGCGTGTCTCCGGTTCCCAAGCGTGTGCCAAGAACCCGCTCTCACCCAGGGCTGACTCCTGCGGGCTGGGGGACCCTCTGGGGAAGGGCATTGTCTGTATTGCCCTGCGGTCGGTGGTGTTGGGATGTCTGTTGCCCAGTGGTCATGTTGGGGTGTATCGCCCTGCGGTGATATTGGGGTGTGTTGCTTTGCGGTGGTGTTGGGGTGTACCTCCCTGTGGTGGTGTTGGAGTGTATCACCCTGCGGTGTGTTGGGGTGTATCGCCCTGCGGTGGTGTTGGGGTCTGTCTTGGTGCCGTCTCAGCCCATTTCCTCTGGCCACCCTTGCAACAGTGTGACAGGTCCCGTTTGTTGGCCACTCCGCATTGGGGCTGGACAGTGCTGGGACCCACCCAGGTGCTGTGGGGAGCTCGTGCTGCAGCCTGACCATTTCCCTGTTAGAACGGTTCGAGGGCGCAGAGAAACCCTACAAGGGTGAGAGTCCTTCTGGGCTCGATCCCGGCACCTCAGGGCATCCCCATGCACCTCGGGGTGTGGCCCTCGCCTCAGTGGCTGGAGCGCGTGCTGGATCCGAGCCCAGCGCCGCAAAACGAAGGCGTTTCCCGAGTTGCGGTTTGCACGCCGCCTCTGTCCCACTCTGCCTTGGCTGCGCCGCCTTGGGCTTTCCCAGCCTGGGGTTGGAGAATTGATGGGCCTCTTCCAGTTTGTCTGGGTTTTATTTTTCCCTTTGCGTGGGCGTTCTACCTGGTGGTGCTCAGAAGTCCCTGTGGTGTTTGGGGGTCGAACCTGCCCCCCAGAAGCCCAAAGCTGCGGAGCACGAGCAGCCCTCACCATCCCGGTCCCTGGCATCTGCTGCCTTTGTTCTGGGCGCTTGTGGCATTTCCTGTTTGATGTCAAGAGTCTGCCGAGGCTCTCTAGTGCTCTGACGGGCCGTGCGGCAGGGTATCCCCCGCTGTGCAGCGGGACTGGGACTTCCTGGGCCCACAGAATGCCCTGTCTGCAGAGCAGGGCCGGGGTGGTGCTGGACGTGGGCACTCGGCCACCTCTGTGTCCCCGCAGCCCGGCCAGGCTCTCTCCGGCGGGGCGACTGCGGGTTCCGCACTCCCAGCTGCTTACTCCCCCGTCTCGGGAGGCGTCGAGAGGCGCCTGACTGGTTGTGGGGCATCTCTGTGGGGGTCTGAGAGGGCCTTTGTGTCCCCTCATGTGGCTCTGTGGGGGCCTCTGTCCCTCGGAGGGACACAGTGACACGTGGGCTTTGGGTGGCCCCAGCCCATCTGTCCCTTTCACAGGAGTCTCGGGGCTGAGGACGCCGGCCCCGAGGGAGGCGACTCTTGGCACGGGGTGCCCTCCGTGGGCCCGTCTCTGGGGAGACCCAAGACACGGGTGGGGCAGCTGATTCACGCGTGGCACTCACCTTTCTGCCCTCAGAGGGGCAGGGAAACGGGCGTCTCTCCTCCTTGCTCCGGCCGGGGGGCTGCGGCGCTGTTCCGTCTCTGGCTCCCCCCCAGCAGAGCTCGCCCACCCCACGCTGCCCGCCCGGCCGTCCACCCAGTGCTGGGCCCCAGCTGGAAGCCCGCTCGCCTACCCGCCCCCCAGGAACTGGCTGTCAGAAGGGGGGGGGCAACAGCGCGCCCGGAAACTGTGGTCTGGCCTGATAAGCTGGGCGGGGGGGGGGGGGGGAGGCCATCGGGCCGGCCGCCACCGCCACCTCTGACCTCGGCCTTGCAGCATTCCCGCCCCCCCCAGAAGCTTCCGCCCCTGCTGGCCCTGGAACCTGTGTTCCAGTCCCTGCTGGAGCGCCAGCCCCCAGTCCCCAGGACATACTCCGGGCCGGCGGGGAGCAGACGCTGCAGGGTGACCCCAGTTCCATGCCTCACGCTCTACGGCTCCATCTTGCAACCCAGTGCTAGCGCCAGCCCCCCTCGCCCCCACATTGGGGACATCGTCGGCCTCTCCTGGTTGACCTTTTCCCCCGTGGTCCCCACGCGCCCACTGCTCGCTCCTTGGTGCTCTTCTCCGCAACAGTCAGGTGCTCACAAGGGGGTCATTTCTAGCCACAGATGACTCCGCCTCGCTCAGGCCCGTGTTCCTGCCACACTGGCCTGTGCCCCCGCGCAGAGTGGAGGGAGGTCGCGGTGCTGTGTTGGTGGGCAGGAGTGGGGAGATTGTGGTTTGGGGGCCTCACCCCCACCCCCTCCCCTTCCCTGCAGAGCTCAGTCACCGTGGCCACAGCCCCAGAGAGGTAGAGGCAGGGGCCCCGCTGCAGATGTGGGCAGCCAGCAGGCCAGCCTGATCCCCATGCCCGGCGTGGGGTCCCAAAGTTGGGGGGTGGGACACTGGGGCTCCCGGACTCGCTCTGCTCCTTAGTCTGTGGGACAGGCCGTGGCATTTCCTCCTTACCATGGCCGTGCCTTGTTCTGAGGGGCACCAGAGTCCCCCCCCAGCTCTGCACCCTAGCCTCTGGCTCACTCGGCTCCTCTTCTGGGGAGTTGCACTGCCCAGTGGCCTGATGCTCTGGGTGCCCCCATGGTGTCCCCCCACTTACTCCTGGCAGCACAGGTGTCCTGGGCGCTGCGGGAGTCGCCAGCAAGGACCGGGCACCTGAATTTGCTCTGAGCTCTTGGGTGGCCTCATGTAGAACTCAACCCCGTACACAAGACCGGGGGCGGGGGCGGGGGCGTGTGGGTGCAGGGGCTTGTGGCGCTGGCCGCGGAGATGCCCGGAGGGTATCCATGTGGCTGGCATGTGACTGGCACCTAGATCAGGTCACTGCAGGAGGAATTGCATTGGCAGTCCATTGTCTTCCGGCACTCCCTCTGCTGTTGTTGAGGCGGGTGGGGAGGGGGGAGCAGGGAGGTGGGGGAGCGGGAACCCCGGAGGCCAAAAATCCCTGTAGAAGATTGTTTCTTTCATGGGTGAAAGAAACAGTCCCTTTGGGGACAGGGTCGCTGTGGGGGCCTGTGCTCAACACTTGAGTGCTGGGGTGACTGGTGCTTGATATGTGGGGACAGCATGTAGGTCTGCTGCCTTTGGATGTCGGTGACGCTCTGGAGTGCACTTCCTTCAAGCTCCCCGCTTTGGGGGCAGCTGGGCAAGGGCCGCACAGCCCTGTGACTTCTCACCCTGCCTGTCCCACTGGGATCGTGAGGGGACAGGCCGCAGCACCCCGAGAGCGGCAGGTGGAGGCAGGGTGAGGTCTGGGAAGCCCCTGCCCTCCCCACTGTAACTGCCCCTCCTGGCGTGGCTGCATGATGGACTACCCCGCCGGCTGGCAGATGCTCAGGTGGGGACAGCAGGACCCCCACCCCACCCCAGCACCAAGCCGTCAGCTGGCCTCAGACTACTTACCCACAGACCGTCACATGTCACCTCAGCAGCCCTGGACAGTGGGTCTCGGGCTGCTAAGGCAGAAGGCCCGGACGCCGCTGGCCGTGTGCAGCAGGTCCCCAGGGAGGGGTGGGCAGCCTGCCTGTGTCTTCGGTCTTCCTAGAGGTTAGAAGGAAGTGGGTGACTGCCCTTGGCATCGCTGTTCGGGTGCCGGCACGAGCCCCGTGATGGAAGCTGTAGGATGTGGGTGCCACAGAACCTTGGCACGCCCGAGAGGCTTGGAGATGGGAGCTGGCACCCAGCCCAGGGTGTGGCGTGCCGCGCTCTGCCACGGTGCCGCTGGTGTGGGCAGGGCAGCAGGAGTCAGGACCTGGGTGGCACAGGCCATCTGCCTGCCAGCTCAGCAGTTCCCCAGCGCTGGGCTTGGCACGGAGCGCCCCACACTCAGAGCGAAACCAGCGGCTTTCTCGGTTAATCTCAGCACTCACACTGGCCGGGGCCAGAGCGGAACTGAAAGGGAGCCTGGCCCACTTCCTCCCGGGGACCCTGAGGGCCCGGAGCCAACGGGCTGGGCAGTGCCTACTGCAGAGCAGGGGAAGGGAGGGGACGGGGGCGGTGAGCTTCGAGTGCACCCATTTTGCGGACAGGAGACCGGCTGCTGGAAACTCGGACTGGCCCTGCCCCCTGGGGGTGCTGGCACAATACCCAGATCCACAGTACCCATGTCTCCCCACCTTTCTGAGGCGCCCGGGCTCTTAACGCCTGTCCCCTGGTCCAGGCCCCTGTGAGACCCGCTTACCGGTGAGGTCAGACATTCTGGCTGGTGCTGGTCACGGCTGTAGCCACCGGGGAACTGACGTCACTGCCTGAGACAGTGGCGGCCGTATCCACACCAGGGCAGGGTCCCAGTTTGACCAGTTATCCTGCCCAGCTGCCCCAGCTGCTCTCGTGGGCGGGGAGGGTGTTGCCCCGTGTCCAGGTGTCCAGAGCACGGGCACCCGTGTGGCATGGGGGATGACTCCCGCTGCCTCTGGCACGGAAGACAAAGATTGGAACCCCTCCAAACCAGGAGTGCCCTGCCTCCCTCTCCCCTCCCCACCCCAGGCTGGCTCCTCCCGCCTCCCTGCCCCTCCCTGGAAGCAACCATGGGGTGTCTGACGATCACAGATGAGATATCTGTCTGGAAGCGTGGGGGAGTCGTGGTGGCTCCAGTGTGTCCCTCCCTGCTCCCTTGCAGAAGGAGCTCTGGCTGGCAAAGGATAGGGGCCCTCTGGCCGGCCTCCTCCTCCAGGCGCAGGATTTGAGTGTCTTATTTGGAAGGCTGCGTGGGAGATGCGGGCTGCGGCAGCCTGACGGGCTCTGACACCATGGCTTGGTGGGGGAGGGGGACCCGCCGTAGACCCTCCCTGGGTTCGAGTGCTGAGCACAGGTGGCTGCCAGCACCTGCACTGCAGCCTTCTCGCTCCCCCAGAGCTCCAAGCCCAGGATCCAGGCGGCCTGCTCCAGCATCCAGGAAGTCCGCCGCTGCACGCGCCTCGAGATGCCCGACAACCTCTACACCTTTGTGCTGAAGGTGAGCACTGTGGCTCCCCGCACCCCCGGGCCAGCACATGCAACTCGGGGGTCCACACATCCCTTTGCTTCCCGCCAGGTCAGAGACCGGACGGACATCATCTTTGAGGTGGGGGACGAGCAGCAGCTGAATTCGTGGATGGCTGAGCTTCGGGAATGCACAGGCCAAGGGTGAGGCGCGGGCCCGGGCCCCAGCCCCGGCCCCGGCAGCTTTCTCCCGGCCCCGGCCAGCCTTCAGCTTCACCTCTTCCCTGCAGGCCGGAGAGCGCCGATGCAGAGACGCAGCCCACAGCCCCGGAGCTCGGCCCGGCTAGTTCCCCCGGGGGCAGCACGGACTCCCTGAACCAAGGTGCGTGGGGCTAGCCTCCGTCCCTGGGGGTGTGGCCTAGGACCCGAGACTCAGCAGCCCCCGCCCTCCTCCTAGGCGCCTCTCCTGGGGGGCTCCTGGACCCAGCCTGCCAGAAAACCGAGCACTTCCTGGCCTGCTACCCCTGGTTCCACGGCCCCATCTCCCGCGTGAAGGCGGCCCAGCTGGTCCAGCTGCAGGGCCCCGACGCGCACGGCGTGTTCCTGGTGCGGCAGAGCGAAACGCGGCGAGGGGAGTACGTGCTCACCTTCAACTTCCAGGGCATCGCCAAGGTAGGGCCGCGCCCCGCCCCGCGCCCCGCGCCCACCGGCCGGGCCTGAGCCGCGTCTCCTGTCCCCGCAGCACCTGCGCCTGTCCCTGACGGAGCGTGGCCAGTGCCGGGTGCAGCACCTGCACTTCCCCTCGGTCGTGGCCATGCTGCGCCACTTCCAGAGCTCCCCCATCCCCCTTGAGTGCGGCGGCGCCTGCGACGTCCGGCTGTCCAGCTACGTGGTGGTCGTCTCACAGCCTGCAGGTGCGATCCCGGCAAACCAATCCAAGAGGAGGCTGGGGGCGCAGGGCAGAGGGTGACGCCGTGTCCCCCACGACGTGTCTGTCCCTTGTCCCCAGGTTCCTGCAGCACCGTCCTGTTCCCCTTCTCCCTCTCGCGCTGGGACTCGGAGCTGGGCCTGCCCCACCTCGGCGCCGAGACTCCGCCCGGCCGCGCCTCCCCCCCAGAGCAGATCTTCCACCTGGTGCCTTCGCCCGAGGAACTGGCCCACAGCCTGCGGCACCTGGAGCCCGAGCCTGCCGGCCGCGCCCGGGACTCCGACTACGAGATGGACTCCCCGTCCCGGAGCCACCTGCGGGCCATCGACAACCAGTACACGCCCCTCTGAGGGCCTCCGCTGCCCAGCGAGGGACCTGAGAATGTAACTTTCCTTCCTTCCTTCCAGAGAGAGATGGAGGAACACTGGGAACTGCCCGGCCAGTCTGGAGGCGCCCCTGTTGGGCCTGTTGAAGGGCCTCCTATCCGTGCCCCCCGCCCTGGCTCCTATTGTTTACAGAGGTAGTTTTGGTTCGCAGCTCCCGCTGGCGCCTGCCTGGGTCCCTGGGAGCAGAGCCGGCAGTGGAGACGCGTTTTCCTTTTCACTGACGCCGTCACAGCTAAGGACAGACTCTCTACTGGGGGCAGGGGGTGGGGCAATCAGGAAGCCCCAAAACACTAACAAGCCTGGATTCTCCCGGTTTCCCACTGTAGCGTAAGCTCATGAGGCTGGCCACCGGGAGACGCCTGTCCCGCGTCCACTCCCAGCTAGGACCATGCTCTGGTCAAAAACATTTTAAACATTTTACCTCAGATTAACTTTTTAAAAGGATTCAGGTTTCAAAACTAAACCATTGCTTCTCCTCGTACTGTTGAACTAATTGCCCCCCCCCCCCCCCCCCCGCAGCGTGTGGCATCCAAGACAGCTGTGCAGACCCTACCTGACTAGCCCCACTCCCCTTGTCCCAACACAGTCCGTGTGGCCCCACCAGGGGCAGTCGGGCCCACCCTGGTGCCTTACGAACAGAGTCTGATCTTGCTTGACAGCAGCGTTCTGACAAGAGTGTAACTAAGGGACGAGATGAGATGTGCGGCCGGAGAAGAAGCTTCTTTGGGCCTCCCTGGTAAACCTTTGAACAGGGCTGGTGCGGACGCCTACGAGCGTCTGCGTCGATCACACAGTAGGTTGGAGGCTCTGGGAATCGACCACAGCCAAAGAGAACCCCCTTTACTAGCCCACAATTGGGGTCCTGTTGCAGCTGGCCACTGCTCTGTTGGAGGAACCTATGTGCTGCGGGGGGCACAACCTCCGTCCCCGCCATCCAGGCGCCCGGCAGTGAAGTCTCCATGTATACTCGCAATTCAGAGCAGTTGGCTCCTGAAACTTCAGGGAGGAGGTTGAGAAACAAGGGGTGCAGTGACAAGAGCGACTCTCACGACCCAGCTGGCAGCCTCACTGTAGTGGCTTCTAGGAAACTGGGCGTTCTGCGCAGCTAACCATTGATACCACATCACTCACAGACTGAAACCTGGCGCACTGCCTTACGGGGGCGAGGGTTCGCGCTTTCCCTTCACCAGCCATTCTGTGTGCTCCGCGAGGTCAGTCTCACAGAATTTTCTGAGAGAGCTTTTGGAGGAGGGGGCAAGTGGCCACCTCCTCACCACTTCCAGCCTTCAACGTGGCTGACCGATGTTCAGTCCCTGCCACCGCATAGGGTTCCCCACGCACCACTGGGTGTGGCCCAAAAACGTAACAGAAAGCCCCCAAGAGTCTGTTTAGGTTCGAGAGCAGAGCCAGCCCTGAGCTGAACGCGCAGTCCATTCTTAAGGGTGTGCTGTCCTACCCCTCGAGAGATCGCCTGGGACGTTTGTCCCCACACGTCACGCAGATTTCTCTAGGCCACGAATGCTGATATCAGCATGCGAGCTCGAGCATGTGCGTCCCTTGCATGTGGCTGACTGGGCTGGCATCCCTAAGCTCCTCAGCCCCTGAACTTGAGAGAGCACATTTGCCAAGGCCAACCGGGCAGTCAAGTGAGTCTGCTTCCTCCCAGCCAAGGGTCCGCCTTTCCTGGGGCTTCTTAATATTCGGTTAGCAGGTAGTGGCGAGTGGCCACAGAGCCAGGCACAGTCAAGTAGCAGGTGCGACCCACTATCTACGGAGTGCCACTGCAGGCTTGGAGCACCGGAAGTCACTGTTTCACAGTTCAAATACATTCCAACAGAAAGTGTGGCCTGAGAAGCGACACTAACTTTTCTGCTAGAGCAGCTGGAGGGAGCTTTGGGACCTGTGTGTGCTGCCCTCACGGGTAGGGACCAAGGTGGCAAGCTACCTTGTCTGGATGCCAGTGCCACTGACTCCAGCTTAAGAAGAGCTCGAGCACTCCCAGCACCGTCACTTCCTTTGTCTGACTTTAATGAACTTTCATAAACTAACAGTCACCAGCACCAAAGAATCAAGTCAACAGAATTAAGTCAACTAACCTGCCTTGAATTTGAGACCAGCAATCCATATTGCTTTATCTGGTGTGATCTTCTGCCTTTGATCATTTCTGGACCATGTAGGACAAGGGAATAGCAATTGTTAAGATCTTGGGCCAGAGAACACTATTTTACATAGATAGCAGTTCCTTTATATATAAATCAAGGCCTTGAATTCTTATGGGTTGCCTGAGCGTCCTTCATGCTTTATTCAGGGTGCAGTTTCCTATCGCAAACATCATGTAAGCTGTAACATTCCTCACAGGCTAGAGGAACTTGGTGGTCTAGTACATGCTGCCTCTTTCTAAGGATACATCTGACATCTAATGTGTCATAGAAGCACATTACAATGACAACACGGAAGGCGGATCCATCTTGTATTATATCCTTATAGGCAGAAGGCATTTTGCAAATTTTATGTATTGTTTATGTACTGTACAAGTAACTTATTCTTGAACAATGCAAATTTTGCTATAATGTACAAATTGCTACATGTGAATTAAAAGTTTTCAGACTCTTGATTTGTTACCGCAGTATTTGAAGGTCCCACCTACAACTATGATCTTTGCAGAAACCTTGACAGAAAGCCCTTCCTCCTCTCACCAACTGGGGACATTGAGCCTGTGGTGATGAACTGCTTTGCATCGGATGTTTAGAAAGAAAATGTCTCCTGCCCCCTACTGGTTACGATAGATGCGAGGAACATTTTAAAGGGAAGCTTACTGACAGGTCAGGCTGAGGGTGTGGAATTTCAGCGTGGCCCAGCTCTGGCCAGCTTCCTCTCCTCCTGAAGCAACCAAAGCTCAAGATGAAGAAAAATCCCTGACACCGGGCACTCTGGCCGTGACATTAAGTTTCCTACAATACAAACAGCGTAAGCTGTTAATTGGATAAACACACACACACTACCTTGGTCGTCAGTTTTTAAAACTTTTTTTATTTTTTAATTTTTTTTAAGTTTTTATTTTATATTATCTACAAAGTAAAAGTTTTTCCCTTAACTTAAAAGTTGAACCACTGTAGACAGTGATCACCTCAAACTTGATTTATAAATAATAAACCGTCAGTTCTTTGACGGGAAGAATTTACTGAACCTTTGTCAAGTTTAGTAAAAGGGTGTTCCAAGTCTTGATTTTTTTTTTTTCTTAGCGGTAATAGCAGCAAGAATCACTCTTGTCATTCTTTTGCTAGCTGACATGTTCATGACTTTTTCAAGGGTCATTAAAAAATAAATAACTTCCAGTTTCGGCAAGCAGAGCTGGGGTACTTGCGGGACTCTGAAACAGCACATGGAATTATGGAACAGCCCACAAGTTCCTAAATACCTCTACTCGGTCCAAATGTCTTCCACTGCAAGTGAACTGTTAGCATTCCTATTGGATGTTACAAGAAACCATATTTTTTAAAAAAAAACCAAATAAATGAAATTCTAGTTTTCTGTGCTTCCAGTTGGTAGAAGCAGAAGGAGGGAGGAGGGAATTTGGCCTTTTGGTTCCTCCAGGGCAGCCTTACAACTGCTGTTGGTGGTGGGCTTGTACTGTAAAAAAGAAAAGTTAATATTTAAACAGAAAACTGGCAACACTGCACACGAGCCTAGTGTCTGCAGCGCATGACTGTCAACTATCCTCGTCTACCTGAACAAGACTCAGAATCTCATTCGTGCCCTCCACCCAGCAGTACCAAAGGGAAGGGGAGAGTGGGTGGGTAGAAACAAACCAGACATAAAACCGTTTCAAATAAAACTCCCAGAAGACTTGTTGCTCGTGGGGTCGAAAAAGGCCTTCAACATACCCCCTCCCCAAAGACTAGCCAAGCACCAGTACTGCTTTCAGAGTGACAAGTTAGACTGAAATGTCGCCATGGCAGCCATCGAGTATTAGAGCACAATCACGGGGGGTTCTCTCCCTGTCCGGGCCCAGGCTGGCACTGTGCTACACTCAGAACCAACCGTACACAGCACTTTCTCCAGAGCTACAGTCAAACTCTGCCATGGTGATAACCCCCCACACGTCAGTCTGTTGGGACTCAGGAAGGAAAACACTGCCCTGTCCAGCCTCGTAACAAGAAGGCCAACTGAGCGTAAGCATGCATCAGGTCCACAGAATGCTGCTGCTCTCATCGCGCCGAACCCTACGTACCACCAACACTCCTGAAGCCGAAGGCCCTGGCCCTGACTCGTCATCACAGCCCCTACTGTGCACGCTCGTGAGTCTGGCTAGCTCGCAGACAGGGGGCTCCGAGTGCTGGCCCTGCCTGCCACTCCACCTGTGCCAGCAGAATGCTTTGGGGTGCCCGGCGGCCCCTGCACACACACGCCTCACCTGAAGGGTGCGTCATATAGGGGAAATGCGCTGTTGTCGAGACTGGAATGGGCTGTAGTGCACTTTGAGCGAGGGCGGCCTGGGGACCGCCGGGTGGCTGTGTCGTCATTAGCATCATTGGCGCATGGGCAGTTGGATGAGAAGGAACCATTCCTGACTGTACATGAGCCTGAAACAGAGAGCTCTTTTACGCATACAGGCAACATCTCCAGCTTAAATAACATGTCAACTGTGGTCCTTTTGCTAGGCTGGGTCTCAGCAAAGGGCAACAACGGGCCCCGAGGGCCCCATTTTTCCCTCTGGGGGACATGCCCTAGTACAGATCATCAACTGCGTCACCTTTGAGCAGAGCCTGCCAGTTCGAGGGAGCAGGCAGCCAGCGAGTCTGGTGCCGGGGCCGCAGCGTCCTAGTCTCCAACTCCCTGGTCACTGGATTCTATGTATTCGATGCTTTCACAAAGATCAGCCTCCGAAAGCTCAACCGCGTAGTAAGAGATAAGCTAGAGAGATGCTAAAGAACTGCCTTGCATGTGGGGCATGAAGTGGCCTTACAATGTCTCGAGCAGGAGGGACTGTCCACCTGTTCCTGTGGACCTTCCCCTTGGCTCCTGGCCTGCTTGCCAGCGCAGTGCTATGAAGGACTAGTGTGGCAATGTGAGGACTCAGGCCTCCTGGCCTCTGCTGAAAGATGCTGACGGAGCGAGCAGCAGGAGGCAGCTGCTGGGGTGTAGGAAGGGGTGATATGAAATGAGCCGGACCTGCCCGATGTCCCTGTACCAAGTGATAGTTCAACCTGGCCTCACTGCCCAGTGGGAAAGGTTTTCTTAGCCCAAACAGCTGGACATCAGCGCTGCAAAGATTTGGCAGGGCCAGGAAAAGCCACTGTGTCCTGTTTCCCTTACTGTGCACTCTTCTGGACCAAGATAAGCTCGAGAGAAATACTGTTTCTGCTCTGACATACTCAAAGGCCCATGGCGCTACGGGACTTGCCTATAAATGTCAACCTTTGCTCTTTCAGCACAAAGACACAAGAAAGGGAGGTTTTAGGAACCCTGACTTACATAAAAATTCACGTATCTACTCAGCTACCGAGCTCTACGTAGACAGCTAGAGGACCCCTCCTCTCATGAGGCTCCTGATTCAGCAAACCACAGTGGCCCACACCTGGCCAGATCAGATCCCCCTCCCCGTCGTCAACAGCACACCATCCACTGCAGTGCCGCCACGCTCAGAGCCCACGCTTCCCAGAGCCGTGCCACTTTAGTTACGAGGGTGCCTTCTGCGAGCTCCAACTGATTTACATGCCCGGCCCGCCACACCAGAGCCTCAGTGGCACACTGCCATGGACCAGGAGCAGTCCAGGGAGGCAGTCTCCGGCAGAGCCGCCGAGGACAGTTCTGTTAGGAAAGCGGCTAAGAGAGCGCAGAGACAGCCGACTGCTCCCGGGAGGGTCTCGACAGCGATAGAGCCCAATGTCAGTGCGGTTCCTTTTCCTTCCGCCAATGCACCACGGCCCTGGACTGCAGCTGCTACAGACAGCAAGCAACCCTTACGCTGGGCCCGAGCCCACACGGCCTCCAGGGCTGCTCCTGAAGAACACGGGACAACTGGAGGCTTCCAGCCTCTAGTACACAGCACCAATGTCCAAGGTCAAGCCTTTTCAAGGAGCACAACATCTGGTCAAAGCAAGTATTTGGATAGCCAGGGGAAACAACTGGAGAGATTGGAAAGATTTCTCTGGAATTCATGTGCCTAACAAGCTGTCAGACCCAGGGTTGTTACCTCAGAAGCAAAGATTCTGTACAAGCCCCACTCTCCCTGCCCGATGTGTGTGAGATTTATATATATATATACATATATATACACATATATATGTGTGTACATATATATACACACACACAACACATGTCACACACACACAGAGCAATGAAGCTATATAAACATAGCAAAGCAGACAAAGGAAGAATGGGGGGCCAGGAAGATAGCTCAGTAGGCTGGAGTGCACATTTCCATGCAGGACCCCTGGGTTTGAGACTCAGCACCACTGGGTGTGCCTCCCGCCACCAGAAAAACAAAAGGGGGCAGGGTACTGCAGATGGCTCAGAAGCTCTTTCAGGTCTCAATGGAGAAACATTAAAGGACTGACCAATCACCAACTTCACTGATCCACTAGAAAACCACACGAACATTCATTTGGAAGCAAATCACATGTATTTGACTGGGAGGAGGGAGACGGGCAGATGGCACCACACACAGGGTCTCCCGGCTCGGAGAGCATCTGGCTCACTGCTGCTTCTCTGATCACCTTCAGATTCTACTGCCATCACAAGAAGTTGGCTAAAGCTGGTTTACCTGAGGTACATGGGCCATGTGGGGCGGGTTGGTATATGCAGGCTGGACATGAGAAGGGTGGATCGTAAAGACGGTCTGTTGTGCTGCTGGGAAGCTACTCTGCGGCGACTGCGTGTTCGAGGCCGGTGTCATGGCAGGCGGTGTGGGTGCGAGTCCCGCGTGGTAAATGGCTGACTGCTGCTGCGGGCTGGCCAGATGCAGAGCCTGGGCAGCCTGGTGCTGATGGTGCTGCACGGGAATAGGAAAGAACTGAGAAAAACCATTTCCGGAATGGAAAGTATTCGAGGGTTAGAGCAGCTCTGCACATGAAAACAGGCGTCCTGTGGACCTACTGAAGGAGACGGGTGCGAGAAAGTCCAAGGGGATGCGGCTAGAGCAGTAGTACAGCGGGTAAGGTGATCGTTTCGCACACAGCCAACCCAGGTTCAAAACCCCGGCAGCCCACATGGTCCTCTGAGCCCCACCAGGATTACCCCTGAGCACAGAGCCAGGAGTAAGCCCGAAGGATCTCCAGTATGGTCCCAAAAACCAAAGCAAAACTAAACAACAAAACCTCAAGGAAATGAACAGGGTGATGATAAAAGTAGGGTTGGGATGCCTCCCTCCCATTTAGAATCATTTTCTTCTGTGACACAAGTCCGATTCTAAGCCTGGCAATTACCCTCAACGAAGCAGAAGTAACACAAGACCAAGATCGCTTAACCGCCCCCCCCCCCTCCGCCACTTCCTCAGTTCAAAAAGTAAAACTAATTTTTAATTTGAAAAAGCAGGGCTAGTAAGACAGCACAGCGGATAAGGCTTGCCTTGCATCTAGCTGACGTATTCGATTTGCCAAACACAGTAACGAC